AATGGCATTTGCACTTAAATTTTATTAGATATCTTTGCAATTTAATTTCCTGTCAAGAGTGCCACTGGGGCTGGAGTTGTGGCTCAGTGGAAGAGCGCCTCATATGGGTGAGGCACTGGATTCGATTCTCAGCACCACATATAAATAAATAAAGGTCCAACAACTAAAAAAAATTTTTTAAAAAAGTGTTCACTGACATTTACCTTAGAGAATATAGATTAGTAATCTTTCTTATCATTGCCAATCTGGTAGGAAAACACATTTTAAAAAATCACTATTAATTCAACTTGGTTTTTCTTTGATTATTCATGTTTATTTTCCAACTGAGATGTTAGTCATTAAAAAAATAATAATAGTCACATCTACCAGAATTTTCCTCTCTGTTTTTAGAACATTACCTGCCTCAAAAACAAAAAACCTCCTACCTCAACAATCTAAAACATTAGTTTCTTGTAGTACTTTTATAGTATCATTTTTGACATTTAAATCTCTGATTCATCTGGAATTTATTCTGAAATAAAAAGTGACATAAGCTCAGTATCGTTTGGTCAGTTAGTCCATTAGTCACCGACGAGGATGTAGTGAAGGCCCAGTATGTACCAGGCATTTTAATAGTCCTTGAGGATTCATGGTTTTCTATTACTGTGAGACAGGTGGGCAAGTTATTAAAAACAGTAAACATACAGGAGCTGGAGGTATAGCTCAGTGGAAGAGCACAAGTTTAGCATGCTTGAGGCCCTGGGTTCAATCTCCAGTGCCTGGAGCAGGCACACACCCCTTCTCCCTCCTACCCCCACACAAAGTAATCACAGCATGAAAGTACTAGGAAGATGTATAGGGAGTTATGGGAGTATGAGATAGGATTTCCTTAGGAGCTCAGGCAACGTATCCCTAAGAAAATGCCATTTAAACTATGATTTGAAACCTTAGCAAAGTTTAGTAAGAAATAAGTGGGAATAAACATTCCAAACAGGGAGCATGTGTAAAGGCCTGAATGTGCAGAAAGCATGGTGCTCTACGGCTGAGATGTAGGAAGCAAAAGTAAGTATAACAGCAAACTTGGGTGTTAAACACAATTCTAAGAGATTGTAATGTATTAACTCATTTAATCTCCCAAATTTCCCAATGGAGTAGACTGGTAGACAGGTATGCCCAGGGTCATATAGCTACTAAATGTTGAAAGCAGCATTAGAACCTAGGTAGTTAGACCACATACTCTGTTGCAGAGGAAAGTGGTACAGCAACAGGCTGGAGGAAGGTCAGAGACAGATGACATAGGCTTATAAGGATTTTTCATGGGGCTGGGGATGTGCCTCAAGCGGTAATGCGCTCGCCTGGCATGCGTGGGGCGGGGCGCTGGGTTCGATCCTCAGCACCACATAAAAATAAAGATGTTGTGTCCACCAAAAACTGAAAAATAAATATTAAAAAATTCTCTCTCTCTTTAAAAAAAAGGATTTTTCACACTGTTGAAAAATTTTTATTATGTTACTGCTGATGGCTAAAATGTATATATTTATGGGTACGATGTGATGTTTTGATCCATGTATGAAATATGTAGTGTTTGATTGAAGAATTAAGTAGTAGTCACATTATATTTGTGCTTAAGTCATCCCTGGCTACAGCCTGAAAATGCAAAGACAGTGAATACAGGGAGATCAGTTAGGAGGCCACTGTAATATTCAAAGTGAGAAAATGATAGTGGCTTTCTCAAATGACAGTAGTGGAAGCAGAAGAAAAAAACGTGGATTTGGAAATATTTAAGAGGCAGAAGAGATTGGACATAGTGACTTAGCTGTATAGGAGGAACAAGGAGATGTCAAGAATAACTTCTAGGTTTTTGGATTATCAACAAGTAATTTCACAATATTTTCCCACCAATTTAAAGTGCTACCTATATTACATATACTAATAATTGTACGTATTTGCATTTATATTTTTAACTTTTATTTCTCATGATATCACTTTATTTGGATAAGTACCTCTAATGAGAGGTACTTGTATTTTTCAGAAAGTTTGTGACTGTTCTCTCATGTTTATTCTTTATGACTTTAGAATCATTTTGCTAAGTTTGAGCATATCACCATGTCCACATCCACTTTCTCCTTCTCCAGTGTTTGTCAAAAATAATGATCAGGATGCCTGCCATTAACACTATTATTTAACATATTTTCCTGTTAATTTTGTATAATATATAAGATTAATATTAGAGATAAAATGATTTTATACAACCAAGAAAATCAATAGAAAAAAATCGAAATCATGAGAAAATTCAGTAAGGTCCATCAGAACACAAACATTAAAAATCAAATAGACTTCCTATTTGGTAGTAATAAGTTTTCCCTTGAGGGAAAAAAGAGTCTACATAACAGTAACAATACAAAGTTCCCTGGGTTTACCCTTACAAAATGAATTTTGATGAAGGAAAAAATTAAATGTGAAGAAATGAAACCAGAACTAAGTAAGAATATGTTAGTATTTATTGGATAAAAAAACCCACAGAGGGCTGGGGATATAGCTTAGTTGGCAGAGTGCTTGCCTAGAATGAACAAGGCCCTGGGTTCAATTCCCAGCACTGCCAAAAACAAAAACAAAAACAAAAAAACAGAACTACAGTTAAAAAAAAAAAACAAAAACATAGCCAAAACATGACAATCAAAACTAATCTGAAAAATATCTGAATACTTTTGACAGATCTTAGTTTAATATCTTTAAATATAAAATACTTGTAAAAGTATATGTGAAACAAAAACCTAAGGAAAATTTCTCCCAAAAAGACAGAAAAAGAAAACTTGCAAAATAAGAAGTACAAAAGATCTATAGTTATTCGAAAAAAAAAAAAAAAAAAGATTATGTGAGATACCTTCTTCTCCTACCAAACTGGCACAGATTAAAAACGAAACAAAATAAAGAGATCGATCCTAGAGAGATTTGAGATGGCAGGCTCACTGAATGCTGCTGGCACTGTCAATTGTTAAAAAACCTTTCCAGAAAGGAATCTGGCAATAGGTATCAAAAACCTTAAAAAATATTCATGCCTTTTGATCCGAGAATTTCACTTTTAGAACTCTAGGATAAATTTATGTGTTTAATAGATATTTATTAGTATTTATTTATTTAGGTACCAGGAATTGAACCCAGGGGCACTTAACCACTGATCTACATTCTTGGCCTTTTTTATACTTTGAGATAGGGTCTTGCTAAGTTACCTAGGGCCTCTCTAAATTGCAGAGGATGGCTTTGAACTTGTGATCCTCCTGCCTCCCGAGTAGCTGGGATTACAGATGTGTGCTATTGTGCTCAGCTTTATTTTTTTGAGATGGGGTCTTGCATGTTGCCCAGGATTGTCTTGAACTCATGGGCTCAAACAATCCTCTTGCCTCAGCTTCCTGAGTAGCACCATGACTTCTAATAGCAATACTGTAAATAATTTTTTTTTTTTTTTAAATTTGGTGCTGTGGATTGAATCCAGGGCCTTGTACATGCTAAGCACATATTCTACCACTGTGCTATACCTTCATTCCAGAAACAATCTTAATATTCTGTAACATAGAGTATGGGAATGTAGCTCAGTAGTAGAGGACTTGTCTAGCATGTATAAGACCCTGGGTTCAATCCCAGCAGAGCAAAAAAACCAAAAACATTAATTGAGCATATGATATATGACTTGTGTTTTACCAGGCCACATGGACACAACCTGTATAAATAAAGAATTAATCTTACATAAGAACAGGTCTAGACTTTGTCCAGGGCCGCTGGTGGTTCCTAAGGCAAGGGTGTCTGGGGCCTTGAACCACATCAGATAGTCTAACAAGGAGATTTAGGGTAGGGATGTTGGGTAAAGGGGTTCAGCCTTATTTCTGGACGGGCTGGATACTAAGGTTCAAGTATGTTGGCAGCCAACTAGGTTTACATGATTGACTCCAGTAACATCTCTGGACATCAAGGCTTGAGTGGGCTTCCTTAGTTGTCACGCACGAGTCCATACATATCATTAAACAAACAATTATATTAAATGACAATGTGCTATGATGGGGACATTCAGGGTATTATGAAAACATATAGGTTATATACATGTAGGAAAAGGATATAGCATTTAAAAACTTAGATGTGAGACAAAGAAGTCCAGTATAGGATTATTCAAAGGGAATAAAATGTAAACAAAAACCACACTGCTAATAATTTTACAAATTTTGAAACAGACATTCTCCAAAAGATGATATACTCTGGAAATTTAAGAAAATTTCATGAAAAGCATAACATGGAATTATGATTAATTGAAAGATTATTAATTAAAAATTTGCTTACATGCATTTCATGGGGAATGAAAATTGGTTCATATTCTATAGAAGTTATTAGTCAATCTTGAGCGAGTGCGTCAATAACCTTAGAAATACTTATACCTTTTGATTCAGCAACTATGTTTCTGTAGTTATCCCTTAGGTACACACACAAACACATATGTAATGGTGTAATTATAGGATTATTTATTTAGTATTATTTTAATATGCAAAGATGCAAACATGTTAAATGTTTTCCAAAAGAGGAATGAAACTGCTACAACCATACAACAAAGTAAATATAGTCATTAAAAAGAATGAGATATCTAGATATATTAAGCAAAAAAAGAAAAGTGTGGAGCAATGTATAGCATGCTACTGCTTTTATAAACATGAAAAACAGATATAGACCTATTTATTAAACTAATTTTACATATGTGGTTTATATGCATAAAATTTCTCTTGAGGAATACACAGGAAATTTATAACACTCTTCTCCTTAGGAAGAACTGGGCAGAAAGGGGCAGAGGGAATACCAATCTATTTATATATTCTTGTGTACCTTTTGGAGTTAGGACCCCATGTTAATATAGCACAACTATTTAAAATATTATTATTTACAACTTATCAACTATTTGTGAATACTTATTTGAACAACACAATAGAGCAATTACTATAAATATTGTCTGTTTGTAAATTTTAGATTATGAATGTACATACCTGACAGTCTATTTCATTAGTTTTCATTGTCTTTAAGTCATCTTGTTTACTTATGATCTTCTGTAGCTAAAAAGATTGCAAACATGAGTTTACATATGTATTTACTGGATTTTTCAAAACAATCTAAAAAAATGGATAAGTTGTTATTATAAAATATATACTAGCTATTTGTTAAATATTAATTAAAATACTTTTTACATTATAAGACATTTTTGACCATGTAGGAATCAAAGGAGAAAATGGATAACAAAAGCATGAGCATTTATTAGTAATAATATTCTTCTAAGAAAGCTAGCTTACTTAATAGATACGTGTTCTAAAGTCAGCAGTTATTAAAAAATTTTAAGATTATCTAGTACTCCTTTCAAGAGAATTTCTATTCATAACAATATTTTATATCACTGATACTTTATAGCCACATTTTCAAGTATATATCTCTTAAAAAGCTATATATGTAGGGGGTAGGAGGGATAGTAGAATGAACCAGACATTATTACCTTATGTACATTTATAACTTTACGAATGGTGGGATTCTACATCGTGTGTAACCAGAAGAATGAGAAATTATACTTCATTATATATATCAAAGTGCATTCTACTACTGTCATGTATAACTAATTAAAACAAGTAAAAAAAATTAAAAAGCGATATGTAAACATATATAATATATATACATTTTCTCAAACACACATAGTGTTTTTCCTTCTCCTTTTATGTACTTACAAAGCATTAAGACATTTTTATTAATTATAAAGTCGTAAAAAAAGCCTTGAAACTGAGTACATTAAAAAACCCACCTACCTTTCAGAATCATTTGTATAAATCTTCATATGGAAAGCAAATTAAAAAAAAATTAAAAAAAAATCAGATGCAGACAAAATCCCTAACTATGAATTCAAATCAATTAGGAGACAAATTTTCCCTTAGGTTATTTAATAGTTATTAAATTGCTGCAATTAAATTCCAAATTATCTCAAATTTAGCCACCTATTTATACTTGTTTTAGCCAAATGCTTTATGTTCAGTTCTCTAAATCTTTTACCCATTTGTAAATGCCCTCTCCGTACTTAAGTAGTTTAGGGAAAGGAATGGAAAAACTTTATATTTGTTTCACTGTTTTTTAAGTTGACAATCAAATGATATAACACTAAGTTCAATACCCAAATATTTCTCCTTCTACTTACTGCTCCTACTTCTTTATGAAGTTTTACTATACAAAATTTCAAATACAAAGTGAACAGAATTTTATAATAAATCATATACAATTATAACTCAGCTTCAGTGATTATCAATACATTCTTGGTTTACCTATACTTCTACCCACTTTGTTCCCTTCAGTTATTTTACACTCTTCAGAAAAAAAATTAGAGATACTAAAATGTACAAATCTTAAGCCATATAATTTTCATAGTTTTGTGTGTCTCTTTCCAATCAATCCTTTCTCATTGTATCCCCATGAAGGCAGTTCTGATTTTGCTTCTTCCTAAATTAGCTTCACCTAGTTTAGAAATTCAAGTTAGTGGAATCACATACTACATATTATTTTGTGTCTGCCTTTTTTCATTCAGCATCATGGTCTTCAGATTCATCCTTGTTGTTCATTTATCAGTAGTTTATTTTGATTCACTGTTAAGCTGTATTACATTGTAAGTTCATTTACCCGTTGACAGGTGTTTGTGTTGTCTTCATGTTTTGGCTACTGTGCATCAAAGTGCTATAAATGTTCTTCTACAACTAAGCTGAACTTTCTCTTGGATAAATACTAACAGGGTAACAGGTCTGTTTAACTTTATAAGAAACTGCCAAACTTTTTTCCAAAGTGATTTTCAGTTTCTTCACATCCTTGTCATTTGTTATTTTGGTTAAGACTAATTTATCAGTTTCATTTTATTGCTTTCAGGGATACAGATGTGGCTTAGTGGTAGAAAATTAGCCTAGCATGTTAGAGACCCTAGTTTTCATCCCTAGAACTGCAAAAACCAAAATACCCCCCAAACAAACAAACTCTGCCTCCCCTAGATCATAAAGATATTGTCTGTTTATACCCAAAAGCTTAGTAGTTTTAGTTTTTTGGATTAGATCTAGAATCTGTATCAAATATATTTTTACATAGGCTAAATTTTTCATATGTATTTGTTGAAAAACATTTCTTTCCCAATTTACTGATTTGGTGCCTTTGTTGAAAATTAAGTGACCAGGACCTATAGACTTTATTCCACTTATCTACTTATCTGCCCTTAGGACAGTAGTACAGTGTCACTGATTATCACCATATCTTCATAAGTCTTGAATTCAGCTAGTGGGAGTTATACAGCATGTTCGTATTTTATTTTATTTTAAAATATTTATTTTTTAGTTGTAGTTGGACACAATACCTTTATTTTACTTATTTTTATATGGTGCTGAGTATCGAACCCAGGACCTTGCACATGCTAGGAGAGCATTCTACTGTTGAGCCACAACTCCAGCCCTCCAGCATGTTCTTACTTATCAATATTATTTGTTTTAGGCCCTTTATGTTTATATATATCTTTGAAATCACTTTGTCAACATCTACTAGGAAAAAAAAAAAAAAGCCTGCTGGGATTTTGCTTGGAAAGTTTAATGTATAGACTAATTTGGGAGGAAATGACATCTTCACACCAAATCTTCTAATCTATTAACATGCTATGTATCTTTATTTAGGCTTCCTTGAGTTTCTATCAGCAACATCTGAAGTTTTCAATGCATTTTTTTTGTTAATTTGTTTCTAATTATTTTTGATATTTGATACTCTACTCAATTAAGAACTGGTCTTATTTTTGTATTCTTTTTTTTGTGTGTGTGTGGTACTGGGGATTGAATCTAGAGCCTTGTGCATGCACTCTACCAACTGAGTTATATTCCCAGCCCAAAAATCGATCTTAATTTAATTTTCCGACTCTTTGCCACTAGTGTATGGAAATATATTTAATTTCCGCATACTAATCTATCCTGAGATCTTTCTAAATTCAGTTATAATTTGAGAAGTCTTTGACTTTTTTTTGTTGGTTCATTAGAATTTCCTTAAGGTTCTACCTCTCTTTCTAATCTTTAAACCTAACATTTTTTTTCTTGAATTGCTTTTATTTAACTTCCAGTAATGTGTTGAGAAAAGAGGTAAACAAAGAGCGAGGTGTGGTGGCATACACGTGTAATCCCAGTAGCTCATGAGACTGAGGCAGAAGGATAATGAGTTCAAAGCCAGCCTCAGCAAAAGTGAGGTGCTAAGCAACTCAGTGAGACCCTGTCTCTAAATAAAATACAAAATAGGGCTGGGGATGTAGTTCAGTGGTCCAGTGCCCCTGAGTTCAATTATTGGTACTCCCCCCAAATCTGCCTTATTCCTAGTCTTAAGGAATAAGTATTTCACCCTGTAGTATATAATCCCATTTAGTCAGTGCTGGGGATTGAAGCTAGGGCTTGTGTATGCTGTACTTACTGAGCTATAATGCTAGCTCCTCATTAAACTTTTTATAAATGCTATCAGATTTAGGAAGTTCTCTTCTGTTTCTCCTTCACTGAGTTTTATCATAAAAGGGTTTATTTTGTCAAATGCTTTGTGCATTAACATGACCTTACTGGTATTTCCTTTATTCTGTTAATATGTTGTACTGTACTGTTTTCTCAACCATTAAACTCATTTAATATTCCTTGTATAAATCTCACTTATATTATTTTATATAGTATTGGATTAGATTTTCTCTGTAAAGTATTTTTATACTTTTGTTCATGAAGAAAATTGGTACACTATTTACTTTTCTTGTTAGGTCTTTGCCAAAATTCAATTATCAGAGATATACTGGTCTTATAACACGAGAAGAAGTTTTCCTTTCTTGTGAATTTTCAATTTGGCACTACATCTTTTTTAAATGACTGACAGATGTTACCAATGAAACCATCTGGACATGAACATTTCTTTTTTTTTTTTATAATTTTTTTTGTAATTGTAGATGGGCAGAATGCTTTTATTTTATTGTTTATTTTTATGTGCTGCTGAGGACTGAACCCAGTGCCTCACACATTCTAGGCAAGCACTCTGCCTCTGAGCTACAGCCCCAGCCCACTGAACATTTCTTTCATAATAAATTTGATTCCTTTGACAAAGACTATTCAGATTTAGATTTCACCACTAATTAGTTTTGTTTTATGAGGCATTTTTCATTTCATCTGAGCTATCAAACTTATAGGCATGAAAGAATTAATTGTAATAGTTTATAATACTACATTTTGAACCTATTGCTATCTGTAGAATTTGTGGCATTATCTCCTTTTTAACATTTTTTTTGGTACTGGGGATTGAACTTAGGGGCACTCGACCACTGAGCCACATCCCCAGCCCTATTTTGTATTTTATTTAGAGACAGGGTCTCACTGAATTGCTTAGCACCTTATTTTTGCTGAGGCTGGCTTTGAACTTGCGATCCTCTGGCCTTAGCCTCCCATCCTCCTGCCTCAGCCTCCCAAGCCACTGAGATTATAAGCATGCGCCACAGTGCCCGGCTCCTTTTTCACTCTTAATGGTAATCTGGATCCTTCAAGAGAAGGAAGACCTCCACGTTTTTGATAGTAAAATTTATCATATAAATAACAATTTAAAAATGATATTATTCATAAATACTAATTACAAATTTTTATAGAAAGTTTAAAATGTTTTGCTTTTATAAGATATTTAATGTAGTTGTTACAATCATTAGTCTTATTGTCAAATAATTATAAACAAAATAAAATAAAACAAAAAGGCAAATAGAATTATTTTGTTGAAATAGAAAAAATTTCCCCTTGGTACTAGGGATTAAAACTGAGGTCACTTTACTATTGAGCTATATTCCAGCCTTTATTTTTTATTTTGAGATAGGGTCTCACTAAATTGTTTCAAACTTGTGATTCTCCTGTCTCAGCCTCCCCAGTTGCTGGGATTACAAGAGTGCTGAAATAAGAGTTTTTAAGGAGGTTTATTCCAACACGGTAGAAATTCAGAGCAGCAAAAGATCTGTTCTATCCAAGTGGATTCTGTCCTAGATAAATCTTGCCATGGCAGATCTTTC